GATGCGGAGGTGTGCTGCAGGGTGGGGTGCGAGGTCGTTGCGGCGACCTGTTCGTAAAAGTCGAGGACGGCGCCGTTGGTTGCTGTCGAGGGGCATGCTTGTATGAGGGAGAGGAGAGAGAGCATTGGCGTGGATCTGAAGCTGCCTGACGGCATCAAAAGGTGTGTCGGACGGTATGCTATCCAAGGAGAGAAGGATCGAAGTCCAGTTGTGTAGTAGGCCTCTGTAGGTATCGAGTAGGAGGATCTGATTTGAAGGCGTTCGGGGGAGGCATTTCTCGAGGGGCTGGAAGAGGAGGCGCTTAAGTTCTACGGTTGTTAGTGAACATGAAATTCTGTGCATAACCAGATTCTTACCATCAAAGCTGGATAATGTTGTGTACTGAAGTATGCCCAAGATACGATCTTGAGCTTCGACGCCGTCCCACCTCTCGAACAGTTTAGCCAGGAAGTTCAAGACGACCGGGGGTGTTTCCTAGCCATGTTAGTCACAGAGTAATGAAGCCAACTACTCGGGAACTCTACCTTGACGCGGGAGACATAGTCTCGGAGGACCTCCATGGTGTCCTCGAAGGTCTTGGTGTCTGCGTTTCCCGAGACGACATCACCGAGGAGCGCGTCCAACCAATGCACTATGCGGCGCGACATGACATCGTCCTTCCTCAAAGCAACGAACTTCTGAAGCAGCGGGTCGGCGAGGACAGCAGCTAGCTGATTCGGCACCTCGATCTTTTCCAGCGTTTGGGCCAGTCGATCAGCGCTGTCAATTTCCTCTAAAGTCACAGACGTCTGCACGTGTCAGCACGAGGCGGGGACAAGGAGGGGAGTCGCATTCGTACCTCGTCGGCATAAGAAGTGTGAACAGCAGGGACACCAGACGGACGCGGTCCTCGCCCGCCGCTGGCAGTGTGTCTGCTCACTGTGAAGCCGTTCTGAGGTTGTGAGACAGCGGCTGTGGAGCGCTGGGCATAGTCGCGTTGAATTACGCCCAGCCGGTCGCGCCATTGCGTATCGGGGTGCTGACATTGTTAGTCAGTATCTCTCTGATTCCAGGCTGAATATACGCACCTTGAAAGCAGATGCCTTGCCCTTGATGGCGTCGCCAACGATGATCTCAGGATAGTAGTCTTTGAATATTCGCAGGAGTCCTGTCAACGCTGGATCGTGGCCCGTCTGTCGAGATAGGCCTAGGCTATTCGGGATCAGCACGATGGAGAATTTTCTTAATTTGCTCCAGAGTATTTACATTGCCTGTATTCTGAAAGGTCGCACATGTTTGCGTCGCGTGATTACGGCGAGAAGATGGCAGAGGTGCGGCCTGTCGCTGGTCAGCGCATCTCACCAATCTCATTTCTCAAATCAAGGGCTAACCTGATGGCTGCTGTATCTAACAGATTGAACAGGATAGCATATGACTGTGAGAGAATAGCTGGAGTCTCAATGGTTTGATACACCATGACGAGCCACCTCAACAAGCCAGCCTGGATGGGCAAGGAAGGCTTGAGCTCCCCGCGCCCCAGACAGCCAATGACTCTGAGGATGACATCGGAGGAAATACGACTAGACGGGTACAAGTTGCTGATGAGTGAGTTGAGGCTGGCTTGATCGAGGTGGCTGGGCTTTGTGATGAGTGAAATGAGCTCGCTCAGCGCGTCTGGTGAGAGGCCTTGATCGTATGCGCGTGAGGTGAGGTTCTCGATGGTGGGCTTGATTGAGACAAATCGCTTTTTGGCGGTAATCTTTGCAGCTACTCCATGATCAGTATTGTTCGAGAGTGCAGTACATGAAGTAAGCACAAACCTTGAACAACATCGTTGATCAGGTCCCGCAGCTCAGCTTCATCAGCAGAGTCCATGTTGACATGACAGGGGCAGGCTCTCACGGCTGCCGAGTTGGGTTTCCCGACACCATACCCTGTGCCTGTGATATTGCTCTGTCTCTACTTCCAGGATCGCGAGAAGTAGCAGGAATGAAATCTTCGTGTGAGGCGATTGAGTTCAACCATTTGAAGCCATGAGACGACACACCTTTGGTGTTGATAGCTGTGAACGCGGCGCGTTGCTGGCAGTTGCTGTCGGCTGACAGACTCCGGACGCGCGAGTGTGCTGCACGGACCATCCGTCCTCCCTCACTGTGGCGGAATCCAGGCAGACGTGGCGGAAACTTATGGTGTTACTTCTTGGTCAGGACACTTTACATTGACACTTGATCCGTTCAATTTTCCCTTTTTTTGCACGTTGTACTCGAGATCTGAGACGAACCTACGTCTTTGTGCATCCGAGTTGTGACGCACTCTTGACATTTTCCTCTCTCATATTCACGATCCGTCTAACCCCTGATCCGCAGTCGTCACCGACGTCATCACCAGCCACAATGCCGACTCCCCTCGACAACGCCATGAAATCCAAGGTGAGGGACCACATGCTCGCGACGAGTATTTTACTAATGATTACTGCATAGAATGCGCTGCTCGGTACGTAAACAGCCCTCCAGGATGGGAACCCCCAACTCACCTGTCACACAGCGTTCGGCGGCCTCGTCACAGCAGTGGCCGTCTGGAGCATCTACGGCGGCGACATGTTCCCCGCGGCCGCCGACCCGACGGGCAACCCCGAGGAGTGGACGCGGGAGGAGATGCGCCGGTGGCTCGCAGCGGTAGGCCTCTCCACCGCCGTCCTTGTGTGGGGTTCGTTCGCTTACAGACGGGCAGCGCAACCTGTTCCCCGGAGACGCGGCGACGCGCGAGGAGCTTCTCGCTAGGGTTCTGGCCAACATGCGGATTCCGAGGGCGTCAGCGTGATTGGCGTGGTGGTGTTTCTTGCCTAGCTGAGTACTGTTGGACGAGTGGGAGGGTATTTTGTAGCTTGTTCCGTAGTCTTAAGAGTTGCAGCACGTCATGATTACATAGGTCACCTTGGTGCAGGAAGCGCCACATGCAGTGTTATTGCAGAAAGAATCAAAAACAATACAAGGAGCTTTTTTTTTTCTCACCAGGACATGGAGCGGAATTAGCCGCCACTGATCTCTACTATGACAACAAAAACCACAGACTACTCGACTCCTCCAGCGCGAGCCCGAGTGCCTGTTGAAGCCCTCCGTACCCAATCTTCTAACTTTGACCTCTCACTCTCACAGCTCGTCGCGGCCAGTGGCCTTGGCGACCTCGGGCTCATCGGTGCCCACCTTCTCGGACGAGGTCCAGTTGAGGGCCTTGAGGCGCTCCGAGAGATGAGGGTGTGAGAAGTGGTACGTCGCGTACATCCAGTCGGCGTCCATGGTGCTGAGGTTCTGGACCAGGAGCTTGATGAGCGACTTGGCGAGCTCGGCGTTGTACAAAGCTTGGTT